GGCGTAGTTGAGCGATATTTCTGAGGTAAATAAAAGATGTTTTGACAGTATGCTGTGAATGTTAAGCCAGAATCTAATATAACCCCAAGTTTTTCAATTTTGAGTGAAGCTCAAGTACAGAACCATCTACAGATAGGGTTACAGGACTGGCTTTATGAAGTTGATGGGGGGTGCCAATAAGCATGACTTCAGTCTTGTCGCAGTTAAGATGAAGGAAGTTTTGAGTCATCCAAATTTTTTATGTCAGAGATGCAATTAGATAGAATAGAGACAGCCACATCAGTGTCAGGTTTGGTATGGATGTATATTTGAGTATCGTCAGCATAAAAAGAAGTATTGAGCCCTGAGGAACACCAGACAAGTATTGAGCCCTGAGGAACACCAGACTAAACAAGACCAATTAGTAAACCCTTCCTGAAGATTTCTTTTTGTATTGTGTTGGAATGTACCACGAAGTAATTTTCCCCTAGTTGATAATAAAGCCTGGAAGCCTAGAGCAGTGAAACATGAATCAGAGGACACAAATGGAAACTCTGAAAGTATTTTTAAAAACCAAGAAGCGGAGGTATTTTTCCACCCAAATTATTGTGGTAGTATGGAACAAGCTACAAAACAGTGTTGCTCAAGTCACTTTTCTCCCTTCTTTCAATAAACTGCTGAATAAGATACTTGGGAAAATTAGCTATTAACTACCAAATAATCTAGATGAATAGTTGATCTAGATCTAGTTGAATAGCTTCCTCTCATTATAACCTTTCTCAAGTTCTTTACTGCGCATTCTGTGTCACCTAGCGGCCTTGGGTGTTACTGCAGGTAGTGACAGAATATTAATTATGCAAAGGAACAAGTAATGTTTATTCCATGCTGAAAAAAAGAAGAAAGAGAACACAACGTTTCGGCCGTGGAGCCTTCTTCCAAACCTGAAGAAGGCTCCACGGCCGAAACGTTGTGTTCTTTTTCTTCTTTTTTTCAGCATGGAATAAACCTTTTACTTGTTCCTTTGCAGCCTACGCATGCTGACGCAGCTACCCACCTGAATATTAATTATGCAGATGAACTGCTGAGAAATAACTACAGAAGCAACCACCTTGTGGTTATTTTTGAATGGTGTGTTTTCTATTGACAAAGGTACTATTAGTGGTCTACCCACAGCATTTTTAAATTCTAATTTAAACTAAACAAGATACACTATAATTTATTTAAACTGCTGAACATGTATTTTTAATCCAGATCATATGTAGTACTTGCATTTGAAGCTGAGTTTGTAGTGTTATGAAGGTGTCTTTTTAGATAGGTTTAATTTCAACATATGGCTATCTGTATTTAAAAACTGAAAATTGTAATTAAAGACACTGTCAACACAAATGCTGATTTTATTACAGTACTGGTTATATGTGTAAACTGCAATGCATTATATGGGTGATTTGACGGCAATAAGATGGTGGCTTTATCCTTATTTTGTATTGCAAAAACAAAAATATATATAATACACATAAAAGTACGTATAACATCATCGAGAATACATAATTCAGTTGCATTTTACCAAATAAAAAAGATTAAGTAAAGATATGATACGTACAGCTTTCACGTTTAGTCTGGAGATATCCGCCCATTTCTATTTTAAATTGTTTAAATGTGGGTCTCTTTCCATTTTATGTTTTTATATTTATATTATATTTTTGTATTTATCAATGTGATTAACATTAAAACATGAAAGTAACGTAACATCTATTTCTCTAAAAGAAATGTCAATATCAGTATCCTTAATATACAATATAATTTTGTAGACCACAAAATCTGTTTAATTACACATTTCACCATCAACATCAATTAATTGTTTTACCCAGATGATACCAGTTTAACATTTAAGTTTTCAAAGAACTTTAAGGTTTTATTTCTATACACTTCTTACATACTTCTTGATAAAAATTCTCTTAAATAATTCTGCATGCATTTTATCTTAAAAATAGAATGATATGTTTAGCATTTTGGTCCTATTCTGCTTTTGTTCGACAAATAATATATTTTTAAGGTAATGGGGTTTATTCCTCCAAATAAAATACAAAAGTTTAAAGTTGTTAGCTTCATCCTCAAGTTTTGAGAGCTCATGCTGTCGCCCTTTGATGGCGTAAAATGCTCGCGTTGTCGCCTAACGATGTCCAATCAGTGGTGTGCCTGCTGGATGAAGCCAGATTGAATTTGAAGTTGGTGGTGTGTGACTACGCGCGTAGATGGCTCTAAACGCAGTGAATGTTTGCATCGATTAAAGATGGACGATTCGGTGAAATTTTCGAAAGATTTCTATGAAGAGGTTGATAAGAATGCCGATGCTTATGAGAATAAATTGGATGAGATTTGTCAAAAGGTGGGTTTATGTTTTCAAATCAAAATGTTTGCTGGCGTTTTCGCTACGTGCATTCGGCTCATGAGCACACACACGACTATAATATAATATAACATTACTTTATTTACCCTTTACAATTTCTTGCATTAGAAATTCTTTTCGCATACCCCAGCTTGCTCTCCATGAAGACTACGCAGTGCTAAAGGACTGCATAAAATCTAACAGACGTTTATTAAAAAAAAACGCTAGGACTTTCTTTTCCCGCAACCTCCGTGAGGCCGTTACTGATCGGGGCAGTTGCAGATGTGGCCGTTTTTTTTTAAAATGTATCCTTCGACCGTCTCACAGCAAGCACAAAATACTGTAAATTAACTATGAACGGTTATGGCAAAGTGCTTAATTCAAATTATTATTGAGCTTTAAGGAAACAAATTATGACTTAAGAGACTTCTTCAGTATTTTTTCTTTAAAAATGTAGCGGCAAATCGAAAGTGTCGATGGTTTTAAAACATTTAAGAAAAGATTACATCAAGCTACACTGCGATGTAGTATTTATAGGCTGCATGTGTTTCACATCACACAGACACTAGGGACAGATCTTCTAGAACCTGCGAGGATGTCTTTGCACTGTGGGAGAAAACCCACAAAAACACAGTGAGAACATAAAAAAACTCCATGCGGACAGGGAGGCGGCAACGCTGACCACAACGCCACCCTGAAAGTGTAGTGGTTCCCCATTGCACACTGATTAAACATTTTATCTATTGGAAGTTATAAGAAATCAAGCATGTTTCTTCACTTTAATCATTGGAGTTTCATGAATGTGCTATTAAGTCTATATAGTTCCTGTCGTAGAAAAAAGTAGAAAATTGTGAATTTAAGAACACCAAACCCGAAATGTTAAAAGCTGGTCATTTAAGAGTTTATTAATATAAATTCATAAAACCTTGTAACGTAACATAAACTACCTTACTGCTTGTGCAGTAAGTGCAGCCCTAGTGAACTACTTCAGTGGGTAAATGCACCACCCCTTGCCTATCACAAGGCTTATGTTACTGAAAATCAAAATGTTGGCAAAATTGCAGCTGATTAATACTTGGGTATATCAAAAATATGGAGTTAGGGTGCTGTGGTATGTGTTACACTTGTAAATAGCTGACATAACTTGAAAACCTCTCCCTTAAAAAAAAAAAGTTTTCAATACGCTTAGGAGTTTTTTCATTTATTTTGCCTGTTGTAATTATTTTCTTAATTGGTCATTTCCCAGTACTCCCAATTGGAAGATGATGAGGTGGTGTGTTTTTCATCGATGACGTGTTGCTCCTCAAAAGGTAAGACTATATAGTCTGTCCTGGAATGCAGAAAAGCAGCCTTGCTCTCTCCAGCGCAATATGCCAGTGCTCAGATGTGTTTCACCTTTCCTTTTAACTTTGCAGCCTTCTCAGGAGAGTCTCTTCACTGAATTTCTATCAGTAGCTTTGAATTTGTGCTAACATCTTTGGTGGAAATCATCCATCCATTTTCTAACAGTTTTATCCAATACAGAGTCTTGTGGGAGCTGGAGCCAGTGCCAGCAATATCCTTTTGCAAGGAAGCAAAGCAAACCAATGCACCACCGAGCTGTTCCTGGTGGAAATCATAAATCTTGCCATTCAGTAAAACTTCCAGAAAAATTGTGAAATTCTCTGTAAAGCATCTGTAAACCAGAAATGGATGATTTAAGTTATGTTCCTTCTTTCTAATACTTCATGTAAATGTCATTGTTATTAGACATTTTATCATTTGCAGCTCTAATATGAGAAGAATATGGTAAATAAGTGAAAAGTATCATTTCATACACCTTATTGTGACGAATTAAATTAAAATATTTTTTCAACTGTTATATGCATTATGCATGATATACGTTAACACTGCTTGTAGTGAGATCTATTTCTTGTCCCATTTTGTGAAATTACAAAAGGAAGGATACACATTTTATAACCTGACTACTCAAACCGACTTCTAAGGGTAAGATACGTTACAGTAAATGTCAACAAAATAAATCGATCGGTATTCAGACCTAAATAATTAATGGAAGTAGTAATTACAGTTGGTTAAGGCTCTGCCAAATTTGTACATTAGCTTGGAACAAATCAGAATTTTTTTTATTTTTGAACTAGATGCTTTGTTGCAAACCCCTGCAGGATTTGAGATATTCCACACAAGGGGCTAGGTGGATTGATTGGGAAAATTTTGACCCCTGATCTTTCCTGCTTACCTAGCAGCTGAGTTTGCAGGTGCACTCTGATCTAGGCAGTGTTTGGTTGCCTTCCACTTCATAGTGATGGACATCACCATGCACAAGAAATTATGAGGGGTCTTCGAAATGTTTTTGTACTCTTCTGATCTGTTTTTAATTTTTTTATCTTCATGGTTGCATTTAGGCTTGAAATTCATTGTGGACTAAGGCTAGCTAATTTTCTAAATTAATTTCGATTTGCTGCAAAAAAAGGTTTGGATACTTGTGCATACATGTATTTTCCATTTTTACTTCATATTATCTGTTTCATTTTTGTTCTTTGTGGACTGTATATAAGTTCTGTATATAAATCAATTGAAAAAGTGTAATGACTGCAAGCTTTTAAAACAACAAAATGTGAAAACTGTGCAACACTCTGAATAATTTCCCAATGCATTGTATATAAAAGGGGCTTCGAAAACTATTAGGTTAGTTAGGATTTTCTAATAGGACATGGTTTTGCTATTCCTGGCTCCATCATAGTAATACAGAACCTTCTGGTATATGCAGAAAGAGTTGTCCCAGGTTTGTTTGCTGATTGTGGAGTAGAGCAGAGAGCAACAGAGATTGTAGCAGCAGTTACAGCCTATGAGGTGGGGAGAGGAAGGAAACTTACCTTTATGTAAGGAAGATTTGAAAGAACATTGAATGAAAATTCTAATCATTAAACCCAAATATAACACTTAAAATGTACAATAAAGCTTACAAATGTTGGACAGAGATAATTGATCTTAGCACAGTTATAAATACTATAGCTTTATTACCCTACATTGTAGTGTTCCATAATTAAACAGGTTGTTATATAATTGAATTATTAGTACTCCTTGGGTGTTACCATTTACCGTCATTAAAAGATGTGATTCTAAGTATTAGGGCATTAAACTCTACAGTGTTGATCAAGTGGAAACTAGCTTCGGTAGCAGCATTTCACCCTCCAGCACATTATCAAAACTAAGATTCAAAATAGATCCATTCATATAATAAAGGTGTTGACTGGAAAAAGCCTTGCACACCTACTGGTTTTCATTTATGATCGCATGTATAGTAGTTAACAATGCTTGGAAGTGTTAAGAATCACATATTGCCAACCAATGCTAAAGTGATATTGTCAGTAATTGATACAGTGAGGTTACGTGACAACTCGGACATGTGGAAATGGGTAATAGCAATATAATAATAGCAGTAGGTCCTTGGAAGTTTTATCACATTGTACCGCAGCTCTTGGAAGTTAAGCAAGTCTGGGTGTTGTCATTACTGTACTGGGAGACCTGTAAGGAAAACCAACCTGCTCTTGTAAGTGGCGGTCTTCCCTCTAGACCAAGGGAAGATTGCCTACATAATTCCCTAGTAAGTGAAGTCAATTTTTTAAATTGGGACAGTTTTCACTCCAGAAAATGTTCTGTTCTTTTGTATGTATCTCTGAAAACGTTTTAAAAATATTGCACTTAAGCACAATTACCCACAACGCACACAAAGATTAGGGTAAGATAAAAGAATTTTGTACTTTTTCATGGAGAAAAAGATGAGAGCTATGCTAAATTTTAATCTTACTTGTAACGAGGTAGAAAAATGTTTGGATTTGAGATATTGTAACAATATTGTAATAATAGATATTGTGACTTTCTTTCAAAACACTCAGGAATTAAGCCCTGGGATGGAGCACCTCTATCTGCCAAATCCAGAGAATGGAGCCCTGGTGCAGCCCAAGAGGTCTGGAAGGTAAGGCTATTTCTAAATAATACACATATATGAGCTGCTTCTATCAGCTTGTGTTGTTTTCCTGGGTGCTTATTTGTGTGACCTCTTCTGTAGTGCAAAATCACAATGCATAGGTCCATTTCTGCAGGTTCCCTGTTTGATGGGCGTGGGAGTAAAGGAACAGATAGGCATTGGCTACAGTGAAAGTCCTAGAGGTTTCAGTTTAAACACCTTACCTCCACTGTACTTTAGAT